CCTCGGCGTGGTGTAATGGTTAACAAGCTTGTCTTGCTAGAACAATTGCGACTGAGAAATGACTTCGATCTTCACTGGGTGCCCCATCCTCTCGGCCTTGTGCCACATGAAAGATACGCTTAGAAATTCATTTTAGGCAGCTTAAGGCGATGTAATGGTTAGCAAGCTTGTCTCGCTAGAACCATTGCAACTGAATAGTGAGTTCGATCCTCACTGGGTGGACCTTACTTTCGGCTTTGTGCCACATCTAAGCTACGCGTGGAAAATCACTTAACCACTTGCACGTACATTTATTTATATTTATCCATTTGAGTGTATATATATATATATATATATATATATATATATATATATATATATATATATATATATATATATATATATATATATATATATATATTTATATATATATATTTATAAGTACAAGATTTAATGATCAAAATAAAGTATAAAACTTAATATTACAGGACATATTTAAAACAAAAACACACGGGTGAAGCAACCGGTTTCGCTCCCGCTCAACAGGAGATTTAAAATTAACACAGGGTTAATTTTAACGGGAGATTTAAAATTAACACAGAGGTTAATTTTAAATCTCCCGTTGAAGCCTGAAGAGCGGGAGCGAAACCGGTTGCTTCACCTGTGTTTTTTTAAATATGTCTCGTAATATTAAGTTTTATACTTTTATTTCAATCATATAGATAGATAGATAGATAGATAGATAGATAGATAAACAGTGGTGGCATATTAACAGTTCGCACCGGCACGCGCGTACCGATTCTTAACATTATAAATGCTTAGCGAACCGGTTGTTGGGTCATGCGAAAATAATCTTATATATTAATAGCGAATGGTGTAATAATTGCCAATGTTTCATCTAAGAAATTCAGACAACTTAAGACTATTACTACTTGGTAGAAAAGCAAGAGAAATAAGATGAATGAAATACTAGTCAAAAATGAATAATAATTGCCAAGGCTTCATCTAAGAAATTCAGACAACTTAAGACTATTACTACTTGGTGAAAAAGTAAGAGAAATAAGATGAAAGAAATACTAGTGAAAAATAAATAATAATTGCCAAGGCTTCATCTAAGAAATTCAGACAACTTAAGACTATTACTACTTAGTGGAAAAGCAAAAATATTTAAAAACCTCTTGTAATCATTAAACAAAAATTCTGATTTTATGATAAATTTTTGCCTTTTCTTTACGAAGAGATTGACCAAGAAACTTTCAAAAAATGAAATTAATCCCAAGAAAAATTGATACCGTAAGCATTGTTCAAAAGTCAGTACCCTATTGACTTCTGCTGATAAACAACCGGACTTGTCTTCTTCTTCTTCTTCTTCTTCTTCTTCTTCTTCTTCTTCTTCTTCTTCTTCTGCAATCATGGCTCTCCGCAATTTCCTGTCAATTGTGGCTCATAGAAGTGTTTGTCTTTTGAATCCCTATTCTTTTTTCGTGTCGTATTCTCTTTCCGTACCCACTTCTTTCAACCTCACTTTTCTTTCCGTGGCCCCCTCCGCATTTCGTGTACTATTCTCTTTCTGTGCCTGCTTTTTCTTTTAAAGGTGTCTTTCCTCGCCGTGTACGCCCCCACCCGATTTTAGCCCCGTCTCCTTTTTAGTCCCAGATTATTTTTCTGTGGTCTCCTTCTTTCATCCTATCTTTTCTTTGCGTACACCCTCCGCTTTTTCTGTCATATTCTCTTTCCGTACCTCTTCCTCCTTCTCTTTTCAAGCTCTCTTTTTTTTTTTTTTTCGTGGCCCCTCCGCTTTTCCTGTCATATTCTCTTTCCGTACCCCCTCCTCCTTTCAAGCTCTCTTTTTTGTGCCCCCTCCGCTTTTCACGTAATATTCTCTTTTCGAAACCCCCTTCTTCTTTCAAACTCCTTTTTCGTCGTCTACTCTCTGTTCATATCTCGTTCTCTTTATCTCTCTCTCTTTTGACTTCTGTCTCACTTTTCCTACGTCCATTTCTTTACGTGCTATTTATCCTTTCATGTCCACTCCTTTCTCTGTCGGGTGGATAAGATTGTGGCTATTTAACTTAATTCTTTATCCGGTCCTGACGAAGATACTTGTCTGGACTTTGATAGACGAGTTGTTTTAAATCACTTACTGTGGTTAGATAGGACAATTTACTCCGGTTATTGTAAACACACACTTCTAAAGGTTATCTAGTATTGGGTGGCTTCTCATGTTCTTATGCGACTGAAAAATGTTTACAGACTCTCACCTTTTGAAGGATTTATTTATTTAAGCTTAAAATAAGAACACGACATACCGTTTGAACCAGCTGCGCTGTCTGCTGCCAAGAAGATTGGTTCACTCTGTCGTGCCAGACAATTTTTCTAGTCAGAATCCATTTTGCTCGTTTGCAAATTTACCCTTCGTCCGTGAATGTCTAAGAACGAAATAAAATGAAAATGGCGTACACAAAGAAAGAAAGAAACAAACAAAGAAAGAAAGAAACAAAGAAGGAAAGAAAGGGTGAATGAATAAAGATAAAACAAAATAAAAACAGTGGTGAAAAAGAAAGAAAGGAAAAAAAGAGTGAATGAATAAATAGTGATAACTATAGTAAAATTATAGAAAATAAAGAAAGAAAGAACGAAAGAGTGAACAACCAAAGACAGAATAAAATGAAAATGACGTCAAAAAGAAAGATCGAATGAATAGTTATTGGTAACTATAGTACAAAGAAAGAAAGAAAGAAAGAAAGAAAGAAAGAAAGAAAGAAAGAAAGAAAGAAAGAAAGAAAGGGTGAATGAATAAAGATAGAATAAAATAACAATTGGGTTCAAAAAGAAAGAAAGAAAGAAAGAAAGAAAGAAAGAAAGAAAGAAAGAAAGAAAGAAAGAAAGAAAGAAAATAGGAGTGAAGAGAGAGAAATTGAATTGAAAGGTATTTAGAAAGAAAGAAAGAAAGAAAGAAAGAAAGAAAGAAAGAAGGATGGGCAGCTAATATAAAAGAGCAAACATTGGTAAAGCTATGCAAGGTGAAGAAAACAGATGGGGCGAATAAAGGGAAGAGAGGTTCTAAAGAAAGAGACTTCGGTGATTCATTCATTTTAATGTTATTTCTACACTGAAATTAAACAAATTGGGCGCCATCTTTAAAAACAATGGCACTTAATCGTATGTAGTTGAGTGTTGGAGATTAGTTTCGCCTCTCTCTCTCTCTCTCTCTCTCTCTCTCTCTCTCTCTCTGTGTGTGTGTGTGTGTGTGTGTGTGGATCTACAGAGGCATGTAAATCAGTTAAACTGTCAAGGTGTGTCCGGACGGTGTGTCCCAACCACAAAATTGACAACTATTTTTTTCTATAAACCTTTAAATTCTCCCTGACGGATGAAACTTAGCAATTTCCTCGGAAACAAAGATTTCATTAGATTCTTCTTGCAAGCAACAACAAAATAAATAAAACCTTGAATTTGTCTATTTTTCCTGCTTTTGTTTCTTTCCTTCTTTTCGACTCCCAAAAGGTAGTAGTAGAAATGGCTTCCGTAATTCCAAGAGTGAGAGAAGCACACACAAGAATGAATAGGGACAATTGTGGTTAGTTTGATGGGAAAAGCTAAAGAACAAAGGAAACTATTTTAAAATTCCACACGAATATATATGAATATGTACGAAGTCTGGCACAAGGCCAATTAGGTTGGACAGAACAACAACAATAAGACTGTGTGACAATAAACTGACACTTTGTAGATCTGCATGATTTTAAAATTGTCATATAAAATTCTCCCCAATACTCAAGCGACTTTTTTCGTCTACATGCCGTGTCACGTGGGCTATCACGGCTCTCCACAATATCCTGTCCTTTATAGCTCTTAGTAAGTTTTGTTCTAACATGCACATATAAAAACCCAAAAATCAAATATTACTTCTGTTTCATATTAGTTGTTACATTTGCCTAGTTTTCTTTAGATTACTGATAACACTTTTTTGTGTGCTGTTTCCCTTCAAGACGCGAGCGATTGCGGCTCTCCACAACTTCCTATCTTTTGTAGCTCTTAGCAAGGTATATCTTTTTAGCTTTTATCCCTGTTCTGCTATCCAATGACACAAGCTCGTTAGGCAGGTTGTTCGCCGCTTTCCTTTGTCTCTCTTGCCTCCAATGTCCTGTGGGTGTCAAACTTTCCAAGCCCACTTTCCCCATTATGCGCTTTATAAATTTTAACTGTCTCTTTCTGGTGTTGAATATAAGTGTCCTTTTTGTTTCCATTTTTCTTCAAATGTCGTCATTACTCACATCCTTCTGTAGGACCACATTTCTGTTACATCAATTTCCTTCTTTATATCTGAAGGAGGTTTACGGCCACATCACGTTGAAACACTGGTCCCGGTACGATCACCGAAGTTAAGCAACGTCGAGCCTGGTCAGTACCTAGATGGGTGGCCGCCTGGGATATACCAGGTGCTTGGATGTGTGGGTAGAAAAGGCTTACGGTCACATCACGTTGAAACACTGGTCCCCCTAAGATAACGAAGTTAAGCAACGTCGAGCCTGGTCATTACATAGATGAGTGACCGCCTAGGATATCATCATCGCAATCTTGCGGCCTCAGCCGAGATTGAACTCACTACACCTTTCCAGTATTCCTTATCTGTCATAGCTAATACTTTTTGATTGGTGCAGTTCGTAATCTTGTCAAATAGCTGAATACTTGATGCTTCGCTAGGGCTATCAAGGGTGTTTTTTATCGTGACACCAACACTAAATGGATTGCCAACCAAGGCTCAGAGAGACTCCATTCACCCTCCGCAGGTTTTGAATTCAGAGTTTTCCTTCTCCTAGACCAGTTGCCATCCAATGCTATAGAACCCAGTCTATCCTGCTATTTTACCCATAGCTGGAGGGAGAAGAAGAGGATTCACACCTTTCCCAAGGGTATTAGCACGTAAGTGAATGTAATGAATTCGACTGGAATTCGAACTCGGCTCTACAAGCCGCTATCCATTACTCCACCGTGCATCCTCTCTTACAGGCACATCGCGTTGAAACACTAGTCCCCGTACGATCACCGAAGTTAAGCAACGCCTAACCTGGTCAGTACCTGGATGGGTGACTGCTTGGGAATATCAGGTGCTATAAGCTTGGATGTGCAGGTAGAAAAGGCTTACGGCCATATCACGTTGAAACACCACTTCCCGTACGATCACTGAAGTTATATTTTGAAATTCCAAGAATTTTCTTCAAGATAATAGCGATTAAATCGCCAAACGGTTCTGTTGTTCCTGTGAATATTTAAACATTTGTAATAGACTGATTCGATCTTTAGGCCTTATCAATCCTTTGCGGGTTATTTAAAGCCAGAAAATAGTTTGTTTTCAGATTGTAAGAACTTTTTCTGATGATAATAATAATTTACTGATACTAGTCTGGAGGAGGGAGAAGATATAAATTAATATCTTTCCCAAGATGTTGGTTGGTTGGTTGGTTGGTTGGTTGGTTGGGTTTTATGGCATATCAATCACTGTAGGCCATTTAATGCCAAATTTAGTTATATATATTAAATATATACTACTATTAAACGTATAGCTGGCAACATTATTTTTTCAAGAACATATAGCTGGCAACATTATTTTTTCAAAAACATTAACAGAGGCCTTGTTGGACGTACTTTATCGCCATACCCAGGATGTGGGTAAGGTCTGGGAGTTCACTATTTGCCCATAGCTGGAACCCTAACAGGTGCTACTACCCCGGATCAACCTTTCCCAAGAGTATTTGAGCCTAAATCAATATAAAAAATTATCTGGAATTGGAACTTTTCTCTCCAATTCCAATGCAGTATTTCTTATACCAGGGGTTAATATTTAACAGCCCCGCCACGAGGGATGTATGTGGCACCAGGCCGAGTTTACCGTAGGCTCGGCCAATAATATTCCCTTAGAACCCGTATAAACGGGTTCAGGGTCTGTCTACCTCCCCGGACGAAACTTATACCAGGGGTTGTCAACCTACGGCAGCCTCAAATGGCATCATGAAGTCCTAACCAATAACTACTACAACGCAAAGTAGAAATTCAGCTGTTTCAATTTTAATATATACTAATATATATATATATATATATATACTATATATTACTATATAAAATATGTTGTAGAACAGGTATATTGTTCTTGACTTATATAAAAATACATATAGTGTTGGCACACTGAATGATTTTAAAATCCTAAGTAGGCACATAGTTAGCAAAAGGTGGCCGACCCTTGCCTTATACTAACCGCACATCCAAGTTTACACTACCTGGTATTTCCAAGCGGTCACCCATCTAACTACTGGCCAAGCTTGATGCTGCTTAACTTTAGTGATTGAACAGAGGAGCGTTCGGTTTACATTTGATACGCCATGAGCAGATATGAATGTACGTGAGAGATTCATGGAAGATTGAAGTTTAAATACAGTAAATTCCACCTTCGGAACCGAACGCTCCTCTGTGGCCAAATCGGTAAAGGCACGTCAAGCTAAATGACTGTTCCGTATAGGATACAGGTTCGAATCCTGTCGGAGGACGAATATTTTCTGTGAAAATTTCTTGGACATTCAGGCCGGTAAATGTTGTTTATTATAAACAGAGCATTTACTTAAATATTTGTATCTATAAAAAGAATGTATAAACATAAAAATGTCTTATAATATAATTTCATGTTAAGGAATTTTCAGGCTCCTTCTTGGCCAGATCAAATGATTTTCTCCTATCCATCATAATTATTTGACGGAGTCAATTATATTTTTTTTTTTTTAAATATTTCAAAAGTTTTATTTCCCTTTAAGACAGATAGTTTGTGGCTCTTCACAGATTTCTTTTCTTTATGATCTGTGATATAGATTATTATATAACCTATAATATAATCTATAAAATATACTGAAACCCCTTAAAAAATCATGGGCTCAAATATAAACGACGACATTTTACCTCAGTGGTTTCCAATCGATTTGGGACCACACCCCACTTTGGTATTCCTAAAATTCTCGTGCCCCCCGCCCCGCTGTAATATTTAATTCTTACATATTCAAAATTTTACTGCAATTCACGTAAAGAAATCTTAAAAGGCCATTAACTTTGTCTCTAAACAATCCTCCAAAGATTATGGCGTCCATTAAAGGAAAAAAATTTTTAAAAAGTTTCAAAATATATAATAGAAAACTGAAAGACAGAAATATAAAATATTTGAATGAAACGTTATTCTGTAATATACTTTGATTATTATAATCATGAAATAATAATGCAAAAATGAAATTTGAGCCCACTAGAAAACAATTAATGTTAATAATTCATTCTCAAATCGCGCCCTTATTCTTTTGGTATAGTATGCCGAAGGGAACACATTCTACGCATGCTCCACCCAAATATTACCATGCCCCAACGGTGGGTCATGTGCCACACGTTAGGAATCATTCATTTACCTCCCCCTGAAACAAGTAAATGCCTAAAAACTCAAATATTTAGAATCAGTTTTTACCTACCCGAATCAAGTAAATGTTTAAAGATTCAAATATAAACAGCAAATATTTACCTCTGTGCGAAACAAATAAATATAATATAAAGGCTGAAAATTAACCTGTCCCCGAACCAAACACACTTTTTAAAATATGAACCATGAAAATTGATCTATACCCGAACCAAGTAAATGCTTACAATCTCAAATATGAATCACGAACATTAATCTATCGCCTAACCAAATAAATGCTTACAGACTCAAACATAAAGCACGGAAATTAACCTGTCCCCGAATAAAATACACTTTTAAAGACTCGAATATGAACCATGAAAATTGATCTATCTCCGAACAAAGTAAATGCTTACAGACTCAAATATAAAGTATAAAAATTGATCTATCTCCGAACCAAGTAAATGCTTACAGACTCAAATATAAAGTATAAAAATTGACCTATCCCCGAACCAAGTAAATGCTTACAGACTCAAATATAAAGTATAAAAATTGATCTATCCCCGAACCAAGTAAATGCTTACAGACTCAAATATAAAGTATAAAAATTGACCTATCCCCGAACCAAGTAAATGCTTACAGACTCAAATATAAAGTATAAAAATTAACCTATCCCCGAACCATGTAAATAAATTAAAACTCAATACGAATCATGGAGATTGAACTCTCTCCAAACAAAATGAATGCTTACAGACTCAAATATGAACCATGAAATATTGACCTCTCACTGAACCAAGTAACTGCTTATAGATTCAAATATAAAGCATGAAAATTAGCAAGTCCCTAAACAAAGTAAGTGCTTACAGCCTCAAATATAAAGTATGAAAACTGACCTATGACCGAAACAAAGTAAATGCTTACTGACTCAAATACGAACCTTGAAAACTGACATATCCCCGAAGTAAATGAATGCTTACAGACTCAAATATAAAGCATGAAAATTGACATATCCCCGAACCAAGTAAATGATTACAACATAAATATAAAGCATGAAATTTAACCTGTCCCCGAACAAATTAAATTCTTACAAACTGAAATATGAACCATAACAACTGATCTATCCCCAACCATGCAAATGCTTACAAACTCAAATACAAACCATGAAAATTTACCTATCCTCGAACCAAATACATGCTTACAGACTCTGATATGTACCATGCCATGAAAATTGACTTATCCCCGAAGGAAATGCTTCTTATAGCCTCAAATAAAAAGCACAAAAATTGACCTAGCCCCGAGTCAAACACTCTCTTACATACTCAAGTATGAATCTTGAAAATTGACTTATACCCGAACTAAATAAATGCTTACTGCCTCAAATATAAAACATGAACATTGATCTCTCCCCGAACTAAACATTCACTCATAGACTCAAATATGAACCTCGAAAATTGATCTGTCCTCGAACAAATTAAATGCTTACAAACTAAATTATGAACCATGAAAATTGATCTATCCCCGAACCATGTAAATGCTTACAGATTGAAATATAAAGTCTGAAAACGTACTTATCCTCGAACCAAAGACATAATTACAGACTCAAATATGTACCATGAAAATTGACTTATCCCCAAACCAATATATACTTAAAAACTGAAATATAAACCATGAAAATTGCTCTATTATTCAGTGAATGATAATATAAAAAAGCGATAAAACTGCAAAGGGAAAATTGGATTCGTGTCTTTGTCGAGATGCATTTATGTGTTAGGGGTAATAAACGTCTGAATTTGGCATTCGAACTCTAATCGATGATTCGCAGGCGATAACTATGATGTCATCGTCCACGGTGCTGCTAATTATAGACAGTTTAGGCATTTTAACGTCATTCTTGACTTCCCGTTCCTTACTTCTTCGAAAATATTTCACGTGTAGAAATTGCCAAGAGGTTCGTTTCCGTTGTTGGCGGACGACAAAAAGAAAAATTAAAATCGAAAACACTTGAAAAAAAAATTATAAAACCCGCAAGAATGTCAGCAGACATTTCCTACGGAGCTCAAAAATGATAGCAACTCTGTCATCCATAGATTCTTGCGGAAATACAATTGCCTTCACGACCTTTCCCAAGAATCTTCCTTGCCCCTTCCTGACGCATTCAGTCAGGCGCCACTTCCGGTTTTTATATAAGTACCTTCCGGTTCGCCCTGGTCAGCGTATCCAAATATTTCTGTTACTAAGCGTTTACTTGAAGTCTATCAATGAAATATCAGCTAAAAACGTCAACTGTAAACATTCATCATAATAAGATCATACCCGAAGATAAAAGATCATACCCGTATATAAAAAAAAAACTCAATATACACCTATCCGCAAATCAAGTAAAAGCATAATTGGATACATCCCAAAAATCGCTGAAAAATGAGCATACAAAAAGATAAGATGCCTGAAACATAATAAAAATAAAATGTTATCGTCATTATCTTCGTATTATTAATAAGAGAAAATACCAAAGGTTTTCTTTGTTATTAAATTATATTTTTAAATTCTTTTTAGAATAAACTATTTACATTATTTGGACTATTGTCTTCATCTTTGTCGCTATATTTATTACAATGTTTCAGCCCATCAGTATCTGTCTATATTTCTGAGATGAGGTATTATGTACACTATTTACATTATTCGGACTATTGTCCTCAT